TAATAATAATAATAATAATAATATAAAACAAAACAAGGGTAAACAGCTTGTGTTGCCCCAGCATAATGATTCTGGTCAACCGGAATCAAGGCTGTGGGTTTGGCTCCTCAATTTAAGATTAAGGAAAAACAGGAATGTAGAGCAAAAGGGTAACAATCTGATGAAACTGAATTGTGTGACATGTTTCAAGAGAGCTGAAATGGAGAAAAGGCTGAGAGTTTTTAATTCTTTGGGTGAATCAATTGTGGGAGTTGCTTCAAGGAGCTGAAATTCCTTTTTTTCTTTTTTTTTTTGGGTTGAATGAATTGTGAGAGATATTTGAGGAGCTGAATTCATGAAGAAATGAAGTAGTTTTTTCCCTTTTTTTTTTTTTGGTAAATTAGTGGGGATGACAGGCTAGTACTTACCCATCCTAGTACTACGCTTGCCTCGGTACACTTATCTTCAAAGTCATGATCGGATATGGTGTACTAGTACTATAATGATTGTAAAGATTCAATGTTGTCTCAAATTCCAAAATGAAAAGAAACAAGTTTGAAAGTAAGACGAGTAATAACTCACGAAATTGAGTATGAGGAAGTAGGATAAACGTCAAATTTTTGAAGTATGTTACCCATAACCACCATAAATTCAGCTTTTCATTAAATCAAATTTCACCATAAACTCGATCTTATTTTCCTAAAATGTAAAACCATGTTCTATACATCATATATAATTTTCCTGAAAGTTAAGAGAGAGATACGTACTCGATTTTCCTGATCTCGTCGAAGAATTCAAGATCATAGACGTTTGAAGGATCAGCGAAATGAACAATCCCGTCAAGACGATGATGCTTTATATGATTTAGGGCGTGATTCCTCTGGTGATCGACCCTCGAAGCAGCATCGGTTGCATTCTCCCGACACACCAAATGCCTATACATAACCCCGCTCCGCCTCAGCACCTCCGCGGTATCGTCCCACACAGGCTTCGACTCCACCACAATCCACAACAGGGGAGCCTTCACGAGCTTAAGTGTCTGGCCTAGTCTGTTCAAATAAGCAGATTGAAATAAATTATACGGCCTCAGAGTGGTCACTATAATGAGAAGCCTTAAAGGTTTCAATTCGTCGAATTCTATTGGATCATTGTTAATCTTCTCATCAGAAAACTGGCTGAGTTCGCTGGAATTGTCTGACTTTTTGGCCGGAATTTCAGCCATCAAGCTCCTATTGGAGTTTTCGGGTGGCTGGAAAACTTTTGACTGCAGTCGTGGGATGTTGTTTTCTCCGGGGGTGAACTTTGCAGAGGCCCGACTGGGTAAAATGGACGAGCCGTTGCTTGTGGGCGCGAAGCCCGTGAAGAAACCCATGGCAAAACAGAGAGAGAAATGGAGAATAGCTTTTTTCCATAGGTGAATTCGCTTTTTTGAGCCCATCTTAGAGGACAACATGCTTGAGACTGTCGGTTTAGAGGCCGGAAAGTCGGCTCCAGTCTTTTTTTTATGGGTTTCCGGCCACTTATGATGAGGTGGGAGAAGAAGCCACAGGGGGTGCAAATAGTTTGAAATTTAAGGGAGGGGGAGGAGGGATTTTTTTTTTTTTTTTTTTAAAGCTTGAGAGTGAAGGCCTTTAAAATAAGGCGGGACGATGCAACGGCTCTATGATTGAATGTTGGTAAGCTGGATTAGGTGAGATGGGTGAAGAAAATGATTAGGTGAGGGATTTGTTTGCTATTCCCTTGCTTCAATTGGTGGTCTCTTCAGCCCAAAGAAAAATGCAACCCTTTCTTTTCTCCATAAAAATCCAACTCATTTCGTTGTTGTCACATGGTTGACTGATTGCAAGCCCCCAACACACACACACACAAGCAAGGGTGGAGCAACTGAAACTAGGCGCATCTTATAACGAAAGTTGAACTACAACCACTCCTTTAAGCAAAGGGCATCAACCGGGTTGGCAATGGCCTGGGCGGGCTGGGCCCAACTCGACTCTACAAAGCCACGGAATGTGGCCTGAGGATCAGGCCAGGGCAAAGCCACTGCAGCCTGAGGTCTAGGCCGGGCCGGTTTCGATTTGGCTTAGCTAAATCTTGTCATTTTTTTTTTATTTTTTAATGGTATTTTGGTCAATTATTTTTTATGATTTTTTTTTTTGAATATTTTTATTATGTGCGTCCTGATGAGAAAAATGAATGTTTCAAATTTTTTACGATTTAGATTTGTAGAAAAAATATTAAAATTACATTACAAAATGAGGTTGTGATCGTCAGATCGGCCTAGATTCAATTTGTACCGTTGTGCTTATACTATTTCATTAACCCATGGCTGACATGAGAATATGAGGTTAGCCTAGTAGCTAACAACTACAGTAAACGCTTAATGGCCTAAATTGAATATTAGCCAATCTAATGATCAGGATTGTATTTCGTACTTTAATTTGAATATTTTTTCTACAAATCCAAATCACTTGAAATTTAGAATTCTTAGTCCGACACTATAAAGGCTATAGCTAGGCTAAAGCCATGACTAGTCTAACCTCAGCCCCGCTCATTGCCAACCCTAGGCAAAACCAAGCATGTATGTCTTGGATATGTTATTTGCTATTATATCTTAATTAATGAGGTAAGATACGAGAGTATACAAGACAGTAGTAGCAAAATTTCCATGTTAATGTGCATTGGATCCAAGTATTCCATGTTAATGTGCATTGGATCCAAGTATTCAACGCCTTTATATAACTAATGAGTTGGACAATATATAATATAAAATTGTTAACAACACATGGGTATGACTTTGGTAATTTTCTCGATTGAACTCCTCATCAGGATGAGCCATTCTACCCCTTCTATTTTATTTTAAATTTTTTTTGGAAGAATCGAATATTTATGATGGTATTTCATGCGATGCAAGGGTGTTTAAGGATTCTTAGTCCAAAAGTGCATGGCTGATACGTTGCACGATGGAATAAAATATTAAAAAAAAATCTAATAATGATACCTATTTTAAAGAACATTAATGATAAAAATCAACTAAAAAGCACAGAAAACGAATTGATTCCACAGGACACATAAACCAGTAGCTAAATATAAAAAATAATGAGGTAATGAAATAAATGCATTTCATGGATTTAACTCTTGACTTTTTTACCATTCAACAATGTTCATTTAGTTATTGTTTTATGTAAATAAAATCAATTAAAAAAATGTCAAGCTAGTTTGCTTAAAACGGTGGTGAATATTCAAGGGTATGTTCGGGGTGCTACCAAAGCTGCACTCGATTTCTCTGTGGATGCATAAAACTCAGATTTTTAATGGATTGAGGATTCGAAATCTGTTCACCACCCACAAATCCCATTTCCATAACAAGAATAGGGAATTGGAGCCCCCTAGAAAGTTTTCTAGCTGATCGATGAAGTACCCATTAAAATAAAAGAATGGATATGGAGCTTTTTTTGGGTCCTCACATCTATGGGGATTTTGGGCAAGGGTAATACATCAACAAACCATTACTCAGCATATAAAATCTCTTCAACTGCCATAAACATTGTTGGCCATATACCTCAAACGAATTGTCCGTAAAGAGACAGTTTATCTTTTGTACGTGGAGGTCATAAACATTCTCACCCATTAGATGTTAAATTGGATAGCTCGGGGTAAGTCACAAAGTTCAATTTTTTTTTTAAAAAACTTTATGTCTACTCAATGATGCTCTTACAACCACCCATTTTGAAGCTTAAGGGGCAAAAATGATTGTGACCTCTATGTACAAAACATAAATTGTATTTTTTTAACCATCCTTACTTCAAATCACAAAAAATTACTTTTAATTTTAGTTTCTATAGGAAGGGTTCGAGTGTAGGAGAAAGCTTGGCTAGGGCATCGCAAATGTGCGATGTGTGGACATCCTTACGTGTCATCTGTATGCCGACATCAACATTTGCTCAAACCTCTCTTTTTGCTGTTTCAATTTTTTTTGTTTCGTTTTTGGGTTCGGCCTCGGGCTCAATTAGTCGTTGACATGCCAACTCAAACCATGATTTAGAGGACCAAATAATAGATTAAAAAGGAAAATAAATTGATTGACCATTTAGGGCATTGTGTGAAGGGTGTGGTTTGTAGAAGGTTGCAATGTTAAGCAATCAAATTGAAGTGTACTTCCAAATTTTATCATAAATATAATTTCGGTATAAAATTTTTTTATGATAGCTTGAGAATCTACTTTCATCTCTAATTATAAAATCTTAAACTCTGATAGTGGTTCAAATCAAATAGTTCTACAAACACTTAAAAATGGACAGTTACGATAATGTGTTGGAAGATATACTACTTTTAGGAATCAAAATCTTTTTTCTTTACATATTTATACATCTTGATGTCAAGATGATCAATTAGAGGGTTTTCCAATCTCAAAATAACCTTTTAAGATGGAATGTTGAGGTGTACCTTAATTCTACATTTTAAAGTTTTAACCTTATTTAAACTTTTTCCTTGTGTGAATGCCCATGCAAGAGAAAGACTATAAAGTGTTAAACCACAGACGGAAAAAAGAAAGAAAGAAAGAAAAGAATAGTATTGACCTCTTTATATTTTATCCATGAAAAGCTCGTGGTTTGGCAGTCTCTCTCTCTCTCTCTCTCTCTCTCTCTCTCCATCCATGATTGTCTTCTTTTAACACTACGTCCATGGTTAGTTGCGTCTTGGTAATCATGGGTTTTCCTCTTGTCTCTCTCCTACTGATCCCGAAGCCCCCATAAACTAAATCCACGCTTGTGCTTATACGTGGTTTTGAGACTAATTAGACTACATAAACTTCGATTAGTTTGATATCGTATCGAAACTTAATAGCGTTTATGATGAAAAATCAAAGAGATCTTCAGAAGAAGATCCCTCGAATGTGAATGCCACAAATTGAGTTTTAAAAGATGATAGAGAAAGTGGGGAAATCGAATTCTTATCTGAGGCCAGATCTGCTTAGAGACAAGCAGACTTGCTCTCATATCAGTGGCAGTGCCAACATGATCTGAACTTTGAAACACTATAAAGAAGCAATAAAATGAGTCTAGTTTAATTAAAATGAAATAAAACAAAAAAGGAAACAAGGAAGAGTAAAGAAGCCTACAAAACCAGGCCAGATGGCCGGGACTCCCGAGCCTTCAGGCTCGCCCATATCAGAACCGGTGTCCTCTCTGCCTCTCTTTCTCTAGATGTTGACCAGACGTTAGCTTGGTTGAATGGGTGTGTTGACCAGACCTTAGTTTGGTTGAAAGGCTGCCCTAAGGATAGCTGAAGAACTAGGGTTTCTTAGGTTTAGGTTTCTCAAGTTTAGGGTTTTAGTCAGTATCTCCAAGCTAGGGTTTATCTGAGCTAATTATTTTCTGACCTCTCTCTCCCAGCAGCCACGAAAAATATCCTTTTATAGATTGGAAATCGACTCAAAACGGCAACTTACTATTACCAGCAAATCATTAGCCTGAATCTGTCATTTCTAGGGTCCCCGGTCGTGTCACCCAACCAAAATTGGTCAAATTCAGGAAATTTTGCCCAAAATAGCTGGGGGACCTTTGGCATGCGAAAACTGCCATTTTCGGGCAGTCAGAGTTGGGCAACACTTCTAGTGTCACCCAGGTCAGGACTACTCAAAAACAAAAATTTCTGATGCATGGCAGATTCTAGTGCTGTCAAGAAGCTGCCTACCAAAAATTGTCCATTTTGGGTTCAGTCTAGGCTGGGCGACACTGGCAGTGTCACCCAAGTCGGGATTGCCTAAAATGGCAGATTCTTATCCAGGAATGATCAATGAGTTGTCCTACCAAAAACTGACGATTTCGGGTCAAACTTGGTTGGGCGACACTGGTGGCGTTGCCCACACTAGTGGGTGACATCAGTGGTGTCACCTAGTCTGGGCTGGGCGGTACTGCTAATATCACCCAGACCAAATCTGACCAAAATTGAAAATTTTTCGTTCAGGTGTGTAGTACAAGCTCTTGTGAAGCTTCAGGAGAAAATTTGGGGAAAAAAGAGTTACTTTACTATTTTTGGTGATGTTTATAGTAAAATAGGGTATTTGTAGGATTCTGGATTACAAGGTAAGCAATATGGTTCTAGATCACAAGGCAGGTAGTATGGACTATGACGGTTTATGATCTGGGGGTTCGCTAGGACTATGTAGTCCTAAGGGTTAAGGAAAACCATGGGATTTGTCAATTTTAAAATGGGGTGTCTACAGTTGCCCCTCTTTGGCACTCCTTGTCATTCGAGGGACAGGTGAGTGGCAAAGAAGTAGACACTTGGCATTCCCTGTTCTTCAAGGGGCAAGTAAGCGATAAAGATAATGCAGACATTTTAAATTTCATCCTGACATTACGTGGTCAGAGGGCACACTAACTATCCCTCCAAGTCATTGCGCTCCCGAGCTCACCCACCTAAGGCATTTTCCTCCTAGGGTTTTCAGCATGAAATGTCCGTGACTTACACAAGCTTGAAACTCGAGATGGATTTTATGGCCATGTCATTTAACTTTAGGGATTTTCACAATTTCAAATTTTGTAAATTTGACATTTTCTTTG